AGCTAATTCTAGGATATGACCTGCTGGTGTACAAAAAGACAGTTTGAATAAACGACTACCTGGTTTTGAAAATTACTGCTAGTACCATAAAATTCAATATTAACTTAGGAGTGCCAGGTCTTATTAGATCATTATCTATCATACTACCCAGATGAATCATTATTAATACAATCCTGCCCACATTATAATGAAGCTAATTTAATTAGTTTCAGTCTGAATCCATCTCTGTAATTGGGTTTTGCTTGGAATTAGAATGACACAGTAATTGAAATAAAGATGCTAATTTTCAAAGAATGTATTTGTGAAGATAAAGCAATCTGTTTCACAATCATTAGAAAGATTTTTGATATTTTGTTTTAACAGCTTTATAAGAGAACACATGTGAGAACCAGTTTGGAGTCATGGCTCAGGCTAGAAATCAGGAGAGTGAGTTCTAGTCCCCTCTTGGGCATGAAGTCAGGTGGATGACCTTGGGCCAGTCACTTTCTCTCAGCCCTAGGAAGGAGACAATGGCAAACCATTTCTGAAAAGTCTTGTCAAGAAAACTGCAGGGATTTATCCAGTCAGTCTCTGAGAATTGGACATAATTGAATGGAAGAAAAAAAAGAGAACACATATGAGTGGAAATTCTGAAAAAAATATTTATTTATCTATCACATTTAGAAACCACCCATTTTCCTCACCGAGGGACTCTGGGTAGCAAACAAATAAAATATTAAAACATAAAAACTGTATATACCATTTTAAAAGAGGCAAATATGATTGAAATTGAATATTAAAGTGAATTAAAAGATGGGGCTTCTGGGCACTAGTTAGCCCCATAGCTGTATGCTGTTTTGTGTGCCTCAAGCAAAATAGCAGAGCCATGTTTTCAAACCTTTCCGAAAGGCCAGGAGAGTGGGGAGCCTACCTCACCTGTGTGGCAGGGGAAAATGTTCCAAAGAGTGGGGCAAAGCCAGAAAAAGTTCTCTTCTTGGACCCCACTAGTCAGAATTCTTTAATTGATGGCATCCGCTACATACTTTCCCTGACTGACTGGGTGGGATGGGCTGATGTAATGGAATGAAGATAGTTCGATAGGTAACCTGGCCCCATGCAGTGTAAGACTTTAAAGGACATAACTAATACATTGAATTTTATTTCACTTATAAGATTTATAAACTGTCTCACTCCGAAGGCTCTGTGCAGTATACAAAATCAAACATATTATACAACATAACAGAATGAAAATAATATCTCAATAATAGATGATGGGACTTTTTCAGAAAAGACTATTAACTATTTCCTGGAAGATAAGAATGGAAGTCATTTTTGCCTCAAGGACTAGGACTAGGTTATTCCAAAGGATCGGAGGGGCTACCGAAAATACCCACCTTTGTGTCCCCTCATGTAATACCCCCTGGTGGAGGGAAACTTCAGCAGGGTCTCTATATTCACTTAGATCAGGAATGGACCTGGGAATAAGTGGTCTTTCTTATAATTATATTGGGTCTACTTTTGTAATTTAAATGAATGTACTCATTTTTAAATTATATATGAATGCCCCCTTATTTTGTATACGTTTTAACTATAGCTTTTTCTAAAGAAAGTTATGTTAGTGTTTATATTTATCAGGCAAATAAATTAATAACATGAAATAACATTTGTGCTCTGGCTCCTGAATCAAGCAAAGTATTTAAAAAGAGATGGACTAAAGTAATTACTGGGGAATCCACATTATTTAAGAAACTCACTTAACACTAAAACCATGCCTCCAAGAAAAAAAATATACATTCTTCTCAACACGATAAATGATTTTATTTCTAGAAAGGGAATAGAGAATCTTATCAGGGTAATAATAATCAGTTTCACAACATTGTAATTCCCTGCAGAGAATCGTAATAGTTCATTTTTAAAAAAGTGTTATTATCACTGCAAAGTAAGAAGTACTTTTTGGAAGTCACAGAAAGTCACTCTTTTAGTGGCGTTAATTACATTTGGAGAAATTCTGTAGCACTTAGGAGATACTTAAGCCTTCATTCAGCAGCAAAGATTTTCCAACCAGCAGAGTCTTTCTATAATATATATTTGAATTCCCCCCTCCCACAGAAGCAAAGAAAATGGATACAGTATTAGACATAATAGAGCCCTCCAAATCTAAGAAAGACATTTATTTATTTATTTAGGGTATGGTAAAAATATTAAAAAGCAAATCACAACTACATTCTCAATGAGTAAAATATGAAACTAATTAAGAAAGACAAAAACACTTGGACATGATTCACATATTGAATCCAATCACACTGATATATCCAGTATGGTTTCTTATGAGATGATAAAAGATAAAAAGTACTAGAATTCAGTAATAACACTTCCCAGAAGAAATTCCACAATTAAAGATCTGCAGAATGAGGATCCTTTTTTTTTAAAAAAAATGTTTTTTCTTGGTAAAATACCATGTACATCCTGTGATACTTATTAATAGCACCAGATGGCTCTAAAGAATAGAACTGTTAATCTGCCCTTGAGGCACAACCAATTTCCTAAGGAAAGGCAACTGTATAAAACAGTTTAATATAGAAACACCCTAAATAAAGAGTATTTCTCAGAATTTCAAGCTTTTATATAAATAAGCATCAGAAGTGAGAATTCTTTTTTGTTTACAGGGTATTTGAAGCATCTTGCTTCATATATATTAGACTATATATATTTTTACTGACATAGAAATAACCGAATTGCTATTTATAGCCTGTTAATCAGTAGAGTCTAGATGTGGAAATGGTCAGGCAGAAGGGGCCAAGGTTCTTTGTTTAGATACAAAACAATAGTTTGCCATGTATATACGTGCATTACTTATATTAAGGAAACAGACTGCCTCTTTGCCCTTGATTTAATGGACAAATCTAACATCTGAGTCCTAAATTTTCCTCAAATGTTCTGTTTTCAGTATTCTCATTTAGAAAGGAAAATAGTCATTTTGATATTTTTGTTATTAATGAATTTGGTGCTAAATCTTCTTGCTAATTAACCATAAAGCATCCAGAAATTCAGCAATACATTCCAGTCTTTCTATCCTAGGCCCAGAACAAGGAAGGAAAACTGTTTGGGAGCCAAGGATTACATTTCTTCAAGATTGTTTTTGGCTTCTGTGTTTTACAAGAGGCTTGGTGATTACATTTTGACATTATCAGTGGGAGAGAGATTTAAAAGCTAGTGTCTTTAATTTATTAGAAGCTTAACACATATAAATTAAGGACTACATTTTTAAAGGAGAAGTGAAAGGACCACACATAACACACACATAACACCCCTTACGTCACAAGAACTGTCTTGTCAGAGTTAAATTATCCTAAACATAATTTAGAGGTTGTACACATTGTACACATTAATTTGGGTGCAAATCCCATTAAACTCCGTACAGCTTAACTTTAGGGGGACAGAGGATTAGACTGACAGTGGAGTCTAGTTTAATGTCTTTAGAGCCTAGATTGAGTATGGTTTGGAATCATATGTTTTTGATCCAATTCGTCCCAATCTTTTTGGAATGAATTTAAAAACTACATTTAATGCATATCATACGTGTAGCCGTTTATTATAAACAAAATATGGAGTGGCTGAGTTGAGATCAAGACTGCCCTAAATTAAGGAACTGAATTTTCAGCATATACATACAGAACAATTTTTTTAAAAAAATTCCATTGGAGATGAATCCTGATACAAAAGGAAGCTCTGAGAAATATAATGGTTAGATTTTTCCTTCATTGCAGACTAAAAAGAAAACAAATGGAGCTCATGATATATATGAAACACTATACTTTCAAGGTTAGAATTTAGAGAAAACAACCCACCCACCCTAAATGACAATGACTCTTCACACCAAAAATGCTAAAAATAAACAAAATCACAAGAAATTTCATAATTCTTGTTCTTGAGAACCCCCAACATTCTAAAAATAAAATTTTATCAAACCAAAATTATGCCAGAAGGTTATATCCTTATTAACATGCTATATATTCCAGAGTATATCATATTCTCTGGCCATCAAAACAACCTGGCCAGAGCAAGGTACAAACAAGATACTAAATAAAAATAGCCAGGCAAACTTAGCCCAAGGCAATGTTGTTTGTCACAAGAATGTATGGAGTTTGGCTGTCAAAGGAAAATTGAAGGCAATTCGGAGATACTGCCTTGGTTTCTTGTGACTTCTCAGATTTTTGGAGAGAATGTCCATCAGAACAGAAACATCTCACCATCCCAGGTCTTTAAGGCACCAATATATCCTCCCAGGCACTGTTGAACTAAACTATCATGAAGTATAATATTTTTGGTCACACTTGAGAGGACTAATGGAAAGTGGAATTCAACCTAATTTGCTCATTCCTGTTTTAAGGGAAAGAATGGATGTGTAATTGCTGAAAAGGCAAATTGGAAAAATGGTGAGAAAGGCTTAATGGAAGTTGCTGTTTCTCGATCCATTCCATCCCATTTTCTTGTGAGATGTTTTTCAATGTCTCTCTACCCTCACTTTCTCAAGCATTTCCTTATATAAAAGCAATGTTTTAAAATCATTAGCGTTTAGGTTTATATGATATTTTTTTCAGAGTGCAGTAGCAGGATTTGGCTGTTCCAGCAAAGACAAGAGTTTTATGGAATCGGATCTGCCAATTTGCAACAGATGTACATTAAGTCCCCGAAAGCACAGCTCACATACACGTCCGTAGTCTTTATGAAGTTAATGCTAATTTATTTCAAAGGGCTTTCTCTCGAATAACCGTGTTCCAATTCATAAAGTATTCTGCGTTTACTACAGCCTCTTTAAGAAGATAGCAAGCCTCCTATTGTCATTAGGCAAAATAAATAAAGACCCTCTACGTTTTGTACATAGATTTGGTATAAAGTCACTTGACTCAAGCACGTTTTACTTTGGTCGCTGAAGAAACGCTTGGGGGCGGGGGGAGAGCGTTCTTCTCTTTCGCTTCAGCCCCTCCCCCACGGCGCAAGCGCACAGCAACCCAAGCAGACGTTCCCTTAGCAACCGCGCTTTGAGCGCTACCACGTCCCTGCCTGCTCTGCTACAGCCTCGGGTTGGAGCCAGCGGCGCCAAGGCGGGGAATCTGGGGACCGGGCAGGCCTGGACACGGTGATGGGGCGTACGGCCCGCGGGTTTTTTCCCGGGTATCCTGAGCGCTATGATGCTGCTGAGCAGGAAGTCGGAAGGTCCCCTCTCGGCAGGTACTGGGGGAACCTTAAGGGGCTTCTTCGGTATTCTCCTTGGACCACCTTTCCGTTCTCTGCGGGCGTGGGTTCTTCCCTCCTTCGGGCTTTTCGTGGATGGGCCTTGAGGCTGACTTGTTCCTGCTTTCCAGGCACTCAGCCGTTTGCGTGTCTTTGCGGAGTCAAGGCCTCTTTTTACAGGGAGTGCATTTTGTGTGGCGGGTGTGCGGGTGGGAGATGGCTTGTGCCGCGGAGGGGGGGGCTTGTAAAGGAAGAGTGTCTCTCCCCCCCCCGCCTGAACCCCCGGCCTTGCTGGACTGTTTCCTTTCTTGAGAAATGAAACGTCTGCAAGAAAACAGCTAAGCTCAGAGAGCACCAAGGATTCCTTGTTTTCTTTTTACAGCCAGCCTTTCCTGCCCATCTTTCGCCAGCCTGGTCATCCCAGGCGTACGATCGTGGCGGTTGTCTCGGAACGGGAAGCGGGTTGAGGGATCGGATGTAGGGTTAAGGACGGGATCACCCTGCCCCGTTGGCGGGAGGGAGAGGAGGAGGGCGACGGCCTGCACGTGTCTTTGCAGGAAAGGCTGGAACTTTTGGAGGAGGCGGCGGGGCCACGTTTGGGGGGGGGGGGGAGGACTATCCGAACGAGAAAAACGGCTGGTTGCCGGATTCATAGCGGGAGGATGGCACAGCCTTGCAGGATAGCGCGACGCTGTATCGTATATTTTGAATTGGGGATAATGGACAAAAATATAGACCAGAGGCTCGAGAAACGTTTTAACACTGCTTCCCCGAGTGACCGATGGAAAACTATCACATGAACAATACTTTCCCCCCACCAACCTCCAATCCGAATAGCCGTGTCCAACGGTCACGGAGAAGCGGGCCTCAGTTGGGAGAATTGGTGCTCCTTTCGTTGGCCTCACCGTAGAAACTACATTGGTTTTTATTTTGGGATGTTGTAACTGTTGCCTTTTTTTTTACGCTTCACGTGTGTAACGGTAGAGATGAAGTACAGTAACTGTTGGAGCCAAAATAGTCTTGGTTACTAGAAATATTCAGTGTATGCTGTGACTTCGAAAAGCAGGCCAGATTATTTCAACTCATTGCCAAATTATGCATAAGGAAATTTTTAAAGATTTTTCCTTCGGTAACTTAGTTGGGCTCTGCTTCGTTTTTTTTTTAACTGTTAACTGGAAGGCAAGGAGCATTCCTTCCAGTCAGCAGTAATTACCATACAACATGTTTATTTGCTTGTTTGTAATCCAGTTTTTTTTTTTTTTAAATTATCTGTGATTAAGCAAGAGAAAGCTCAAGAACTCTCTTTTCATGTTAGAGGCAGTTTTAAAAATTTAGAGTACTTAATAGAACCCTTTAAAACAGCACTTTTAAAGAAACAAAATACAACATTTGCCAGATTCTATTTGCACTACAAACATTTGTAAATAAGTGAAGTCATGGAGAGAACATTTTGGTTTTATTTGGTTGGAGCATTACTTGTTGAGCATTACTCAACAGATCAGAACGAGGCAAAAGAATATAACTCTCTTCAATGCTTTATTACATTGAAGCAAACACTGAGAACATAAGAGCCTTACTGGGTTCAGGCTAGTAGCCCCTCTGGTTCACTGTTCTCTATCTAACAGTGTCCAACTGGATGAATTCAGGCAAGTCATAAATATGGACAGGATGTTCCCAGTTGGCTAATGTTGAAGACAAGCTGCTTTTATTCCAGGGGAAGTAAAAGCCCATCAAGCCATGGGCATGGTACTAATACTTTCTAGAAGAATTATTTCTAGGGAAACAGATGCAGAATTATAACTGGATGAATAATTATGTGATGGATATACTTACCGTATTAAGTTTCAGTAAGATAATAAGTTTTAGGGTGTCAGTATTAATTGTCTGAATTTCAAACTATTTTTGAAGCTGTAATTCTTCCTAATTTAGTCAATAGATATTGATTGCTGATTGCTGAGGACAATTGCAGCTTAGTTTACTTTCAAAAAAATCCCATTTTAAATCATAGATACAACATCTTATCACCTAAATGTTTTTCTTTAGTGGTTACTGCTGAGATGAACTTTTTAAACGTTGATAACTTTAACTCATGATTCTAAGTGGTCATAAATAGTGGTTGTAGTGGTAGTCTGTGCAATTTAATGGAGGAATCCTATATTAGGAGGATTACTATAGTCTATATGAGTTGTTAGATTTCTCTTTGCAAGACAGAAAATCGATATTAGGTTTCTGTTGCTGGCTTCTAAGGCAGTTCTGAGTACGGTGCTTCTAAAAAGTGATTGTGGCAGGACAGATTAGTCCAGTGGTTCTCAACCTGTGGGTCGGGACCTCATTTGGGGTCGAACGACCATTTCACGGGGGTCGCCAAACAACGCAGTCCGCCATTTTTTTCCCCTTTTCCTTAGCTGTGCTACTCCCTTTTATTCTATTGGCTTTCAAAAGCCAATAGAAATTGTCCAGGCTGTCTCTGCCCTGCTGAGCCCGCCAAAAGTCCCATTCTGCAAACGGTGCTGCACCAGTTGAGTAGTCCTTGACTTATGACCGGTTGAGTAGTCCTCAACTTACGACTGGTTGGGGGGGGTCACGGCATTAAGAAGGTTGAGAACAACTGGATTAGTCAAAGGTGAAAATCTGCTATATACTATTATTCCTGTCCCTTGTTATTACCAAAACAAAGCAAAAAGAATTGTACATACTCAATGCCTATTTTAATTTTTTTCCTTTTAATAAAAAAATGGGGGAAATCAAATGCTGCTCCTTCCAATTAGCTGCAGCCACATCATCTAGATTTTGGGGTTTGTTGGAGGATTTAGGATTGTTACTGTAATTTAAAATAATGTTTGTAAGAATTGGTGTTCATTTTTACTGATCATTTCGTTATTTTCAGCCAGGTTTGGAGATGGCTTGTATGACTCTTATATGAGAATAGATCAGATTAGATATCCAGAACCTACAAATGAAGAATGCACCCCTTCTGGTTTTCCTTCACTAGGGAGATCTAATGTAAGTAATTTCATGTTTCTTGAGTTTTGTTATTGTTGGGACAACACAAACTAGATCCTTTAACAAACCAGAATATTAATATTAGACTTATGCAGTGCTTCTGATTTGATTCAAAACAGCTGCTTTATTATATAAATGTGACATCTATGTGTGGCCACATTTGTTTCCAGGATCTCATGGCTGCATTAACAAGCTGCACAGAGGTGATGCATTCACTCTTGTACATTTAGGGACTTCTTCCAATACAGCCTGAAACACTGCATAACCCTAACAAGTACATCTGTATCAGCAAAGAAGGTGATAGTTAAGAATTGTGTGTGTACTATTTTTTTCCAACCATTAGGCATGGTTAAGAATGCTACAGGTGGTTTTCATTTAGCAATTGCCTCAGAGCAACCATTTGCAATTATGATGATTAAAAAGTAACTTTGCAACCATACCTAGCATTTATGACCTTTGTAGGCCTGTAAAGCAAAAGAAAACTGAAATGAGATTGTAAGTACAGTCATGGTTTCACTTAGCAACTACTTCACATAACAACCAAGTTGCTGATCCCAATTGTCCCTGAATGAGCACCATTTATACTTAATAATATGGTAATGCTTACAATACTAATATTGAGATTTACAAGAGATTTCTTGTTTTTCATAAATATTAAGTATTATATAGCCTTGCAAATAGACTTTCTGGACTAATCCACCTTTTGTTCTGCTTTCCTTAATGTTTTTTCCCCCTTAATAGCATTAAGGATTAATGTTCCTCATAATGGAAATGGATTGATGATAACAATAGGCATATGTAAGTAAGAGAATAATATAATTAATCAAGTGACCTAAATTAAGAGATGTCACAATCTTCCTATTGTACAAGACCATTAATCTAAAACTAGATTGCTTGCTTCTTCATGGATTATCCACTCAACTGACAAAGAGAAAACCAACTGGCTTCCATTTTTTTCAACATTTAAAGGATAAGTATGTTTTTCTGCTGGTAAACATCAAGATATTAAAACTGCAATTATACCTGTATCATTATTTTAACTACTGTGTTTACTCAATATGTGTAAGTTGCAAGAGTAGCTTTTTTTCAGTGGTAGACTTGAAAAGAGTTGCATTTTGAATGTTACAGTAATTGTTTCTATGGTAAAATAGATTAGAAAAGTCAGTAAATATTTCTTTGCAGAAAACATAAGTACAGGAGAGCATCTCTTTACTGAAAAGAAGGCTTTACATTATAGTTACATATCATCTTGTATGTATCTATGGCCATTCATTTGTAGTCAATATTCTTAGAGAACTGTTACTCTCAATTAGCTAAGTGTTTAATTACAGGACTGAAATTTACTAGTTTTGTTTTTTAAAATACAAAAAGGAATTCCCTAATGTTTACTTCGAAAACAGTAATGTCTTTTTTCACTTCAATTGTTTTTGTAGAAATGATATATGTCTTAATCAGAGTCATGTATCTTGTGAGCTTGCTAGAGAGGACTGGTTAGATTGCAGCAATTATATACAATTGACAACAGCCTTAACAGTAACAGCCTTGAAAGTAAAAGGAATATTGTGCTCCGAGTAACGCTAAAGCTTGTTTGCATAACTGATCATTTGAAAGGTTGGCATGTGTAGTTCTAGCATCATTTCATGCATGCCATACTTAGAAGCAATGCAGTACTGAGAAAGAAATAATTTTCTAAGTGTGTACTCTATTTCAGGTTTTCACATACAAACATCCAGTTGAAATTGGATGAGTTTAAAGTTTTAATTTCTGAAAACCAAGATTTTGGGGGTGGGGAGGTAAGATAACTATTTATAAATATAGTCAGGAAAAAATAGCAAAGAATGACTGAGTTGCTGCATTAGAGAATTAAATGCTCATTTAATATTTAGTCTTTCAACCTAAAAATATACTTTTTTGGATTTAAATAGTGGTTGGGAGTCAGATAGCTTACAGATTTGATAAATAAAATAAACACAGGATAAGATGATTTTCACCAAATTAAAAATACTGATATTTTAAAAATTATAAATCACTATACCAGCCCTTCATAATGTTTTAAATAATCTTATTAGCAATCTCTTAATAACAATCCTTAGTTTTTTCTGGACTGTTTTCTAATATTCATCACATCACATAGGAAATTTATAGAAGAGCTACTGTAGATATTTCACTCTTCATTCCAATATAGTTAACATATCATGTAACTATTTACAGCTTGGTCACAGATGCATTGCTATATATATGCGAAGAGGGGAAACATTGACAAAATGATAAAAGAATCCACTTGATTGCTAGCCAAAGCATTAATATCATTTCTGTAGCTCAGGGGATCACAAGTTGATTAAATTGAGCAGAACAAGAATTTGCTATAGTCAGATTTCTACTGTTATTTGTTCCTGCGATTGATGTTGACCCAATCTATTCTGCAATAGGAATAGAATGAGAAATAAAGAATATTAAAAGAGTTTCTAAGTAGAATGCACTCACTTGTTTATCAACACCATTGAGCATCTCATTTTGAAATACTTATACATTGTAACTTTTGGTTACTGCAAATTGTTATCTTTATCTTGAATTTTCTGCAGGTAGATTTTCAACAGTGCTGCCAATACCAAATCTAAGCTTATAGCATGACTAAATAATGTGATTTTGACTATTTCCTTTGAGATTGGGAGTCTTCGTGTTGAAGTGAGCAGCTATATTACCATGTTTTCTCGAAAATAAGACCTACCCCCAAAATAAGCCCTAATTTGGAGGCAAGGCGCATGCCTAAAAACCTAGGGTGGGGGTGTGGAGCTTCCCCATGAGCCTCACACCTGCTTACCGTTGCAGCCAGGCCTCCCATTCCCCGACACCTGCCCCCGCCTTGCTGGTCCTTTTCTTCTGCGGCCACTTGCCGCTGCTCGCATGCATCACCCCCGGCCTCCATGTCACTGTCAGGAAAGACCTCTGTAGCTGAGAACAGAGCTCCAGATTGACGTGCGTGGCATCCCCCCTCCCCCCTGCCTGCATTTCAGGAGGCACTGCACACATCAATTTGGAGCTCAGTTCTCGGCTGCAGAGGCCTTTCCTCTGAAGGCCTCTGATGGCAAAACACAGGCGAGGGGGCATCACACATGTCAATCCGGAGCTCTGTTCTCAGCTATAGTGGTCTTTCCTGAAGGCCTCTGATAGAGAAATGGAGGCTGGGGTGATGCATGCGAGGGGCTGCAGAAGGAGTGGGCTGGCTGGATGGGGTTGTCAGTGCCACCGTTGGGAGGTGAGACAGGATAAGACATCCCCCGAAAATAAGAGCTGGTGCCTCTTTTGGAGGAAAAAAAAAAGACTGATTCTTATTTTTTGGGAAACACAGGGTCAAAAGCTGCTTGATTGACAGTAATGTGGTGAAACCATTTCCAGTACCTGCTATGCTATTACATTGCATCCAGATAAATAAGTGTTGCCAGCACTGACAGATTGCAATTCCACCCATGTTATTTTACCCTCCAAAACCCACTTTATTTTTGATGCTGTTTGTCATAGCTTTTTCTTTAATATTTGTAGTAAAGTGTGTGAGTACTCTTATGTATGAAACTGCCATTTTATAATTCAGTGTCTTGGGTTGGGTTTTTACTAGGATTAAGGTCATAGACCTCTTTGCCAACAAGTTCACCTGCAACTCTTGTGGCTCAAAGTATATGTTCAGCTGTAAGATATGTACAAGTCTACTGCATTAGGATTCTTAAGACTGTTAAGAATCTATAATATGTCAGGCACTTCATCTTAAAACCATAAAAAAGTTATTTTATACTATGTTAGGTGATTTATTTATTTAACTTCCCTACATTGCCTGGCCATGTAAATGCATGAACTTTTGCCTGAACATGGCCTGCCAGGAAGCAGCAGGAATTGAACTTGAGGCTTTTTCTGCACAAATGTGTAACTCTTTTTTCCACACAAGAAGAATCTGGCTTAAATTTTGATTTAGGTGTGAATGGCTGGAGAAAAATATATGCCATGCCTAGTTCTATTTGCTTTCTACCTGCCCCATTGTTACTGTTGCTCTCTCACATCCATTTTATATCTGCATTTTGGGAAATTCTGTACTGCCAATTATTTACATTTAATTAAAAGGATGCATTTAGTGTAGATTATTACAGAATGTTTTCATCTTTCTATTCTAAGAGTGGGCACATTTACCCATATTTGCTATGACTAAAATTATAGTTTTCTAATAAAAGATACTTAAGTAATGTCATATCAAGACCAAAGAGAAACAGTCTTAAAATATTAATCAGAAAGTAAACCAAACACACTGACAAAAAAAAAAAAAAATTCCACCAGATGAGAAAATTCAATGCAAACATTTCAGAATTCTGTTATCTTAGTGGTACAGAAAAGGATCTTTTTCTGGCTCCATTCAAGTGCATATTATCCAAATACGAGGGCAATTTGGAAATAAACCTGTTTGGTTATCAATGACAGACACTTGCATCTACAGAATTTTTATTATACACATTAGAAAACTGCAACATTACATTACTTTTTGACATAATCACCATTCAAACTGAGGCACTTGTCATAACGTCTTACAAGGTTTGAAATTCCTTAGTAGTAGTCGCTCGATGCCAAATCTGGACTATTGGGGGGGGGGTGACTGCTTCAAAAGTTGGAACTGCTTCAAAAGTTCTTGGGAGTATAGAACATTGTGCAGATGATCATTATCGTGAACCAACACCACACCGGAATTCAGCATGCCCTGGCGCTTGTTATGGATGGCTCATCTGAGTTTTTGTAATGTTTAACAGTAGACTTCAGAATTGATGGTCGAACCACACTCCATGAACTTCACTAGCAGTACTCCTTTGGCATCTTCACATTTGGTGGGATTTTCTATGGCATCGCTTCCAAGTGTGGTATTGGTTCATGATAATGCTCGCCTGCACACTGCTAGATGCACCCAAGAACTTTTGAAGCAGTTCTGTTGGGATGTTTTTGATCACCCCTCCCCCAATAGCCCAGATTTGGTGCCGAGTGACTACTACTAAGGAATTTCAAACCTTGTAAGACATTATGACAAGTGCCTCAATTTGAATGGCTATCATGTCGAAAAGTAATGTAATGTTGCAGTTTTCTAATGTGCGTAATAAAACTTCTGTATCTGTGAGAGATTCATTGATAACCAAATGGAAGTTTATTTCCGAATTGCCCTCTTATCAGATGTACTGGAGTACCTCAGCTGCTCAGGGAGGTAGATAGTAGCATTTGTAGGCAAGTTGGGAGGGTGTTTATAGCCTTAAAGAAATAATGAAAACGAAGAGACAAAGATACTAAAAAAATTTGGATGATAGCTTCCTTACTATTGATTTCAATGAGGAACCTCATGATTGGATTATTGATAAGCTGTAATATAGTGATCTTATTAGTAGTATTGATACATGATAATATAAAGAGGCTGACTTTTTATGTATCTGGCTTTATAATCCAGATTTTTTTATATTGGTTATTCAATGAATGGCATTGAGGTTGTTTTGTGCATAATATGTGTTTCATAGAAAGAAAAAATCACTGAGGGATTTGCCACATCATATACATGGACTTGTTTTCTTTATAGAAGCTCATTGGCATGTCCTATTGTTTGCACAGGTAGTCCTTGGACTACAACCACTCATTCAGCGACTATTCAGAGTTACAACAATGCTGAACGAGAATGACTTAAAACCAGTCCTCAGAGTTGCAGCCATCACAGTATCCTCAAAGTCATGTGATTGTGAATGACAACTGGTCTTCTATTATGACAGTTGCAGTATACTGCAGTCCCATGATTACCATTTGCGACCTTCTTTGCTGGCTTTACATAAGCAAAGTCAATGGGGAAGCTGGCAAGAAGTTGCAAGTTGCTCACCTGCATTCCGTAGCACTTTTTGTGGCACCTTCTTGCATTCCATAGCCATTGGAGAACTAATTACCTATCATTTTCTTGTCAAATCTTTTGAATTTCTAAGACACTAAGCAAATATTTTTTCTGGCAATTAGTTATCTTTTGGTCTGAAAACAAGAAACTTGCTTTTTATTATAAAAGATAAGCTATTTCATACAGTTTCTATGGAGCGCAGCTTGGAGGCTAAATTTTCCACTACCCTAAGAACAGATGTGAGAAATGCTTCTCATTTTATTTCTAAAATAGTTCACTTTGAGGCATGTTAGTGCCTCATGTGCATGCAGCCCCAAAGTTATCACTGTATGAGTTAATTTTGCTTTCATTTTATATTTAGTCAGTATCAGAATATCTTCTTTCACTGCCAATTATTTTTTCATTATTCTGTGTTACTTCAAAGTAAATATAAATATATTGGTAATGTAATTATAAACATATTGCTAATGCTTAGCTTCAGACTTTTTTCTAGTTTATATTTTATCTAAGTATTGCATGCAGGACAAAATTACATTTCCTGTTTGGACTCTGCATTGCTATTCTATTTTTTCTCCGCTATTACCTGAAAAATGCAAAAATTGTGTCCAGAATTCTTTGTCCATTAGGAGATCAAATGTTTCTGAAAACAGAGTTCTTTGAAACTCGGTCGCTCTGAATTAATAAAGAATTGCTGATTGGATTGGATTAATATCTTGCAAGGGCCATTTTATTCAAAATTTTATAGCATTCCTCATTATTTCTGCTCAGTTCAGTTCAGCCATAGATACTGAAGAATCTATTAACATTATGCTAATTCTCTGGATCATATTTTCTGTGTCTTTTAAGAAGGTTGTATGTCTCAAAATACACTGTCTATATTTTCCAAACAGATATAGCAGTTAAGCAGTACAATACAGATCTTGGTGTCCTGAAACTGCATTTTCTGAATCAATGTCGTAACTGTTTTGGCATTTCATTGAAAAAGGTATACAAATAGTTTTCAAAAGAGTTATTAATTTGATGTTTTGGTGGAGTAATAAATTTGCTATAGAAATGGAAGATATCATTATTTATTGGCTACCCCAGACATATATAAAAGCTGCTATTTAGTTGAAATGTTGGTTTCATTTTTTTTTTGAAATTTCAACAATTTATGAAATTGTTTCATAAATTTAGCATAGTACCTTGCAGAAATCAATGAGCTATGTCAGGCTTATCCTGGTCTGCCTTGTGGACTCAACAAGGTACTTTTTAAAGTGAAGATGACCTAATCAAATCCTGTAAGAGTGGCTCATTCATTCATTCAATATTCTTGCAAGGTCGCTATTTTGCACCAGTTTTTAGAATAGGACATTGCTTTGCTTCATTGCATTACCTGAAAGCCTATTACTCGCATTGCCTATACTGAAATAGAATCTGAAGTGAGTCTCCAAAGTTACACTTGTTTCAAATTGGGATAAATCATTTTTCATTTTTAATGTTTTCTGATTATTTCTGATTTGCAGTTTTGCAGGAAAAAGTATTTAGTTCCTTTTGTGCATGGAACAAAACTCTTTGCAGGGCTCAAAAGTAAATTAGTATACTATAATACAAAACATACAAACATGCCTTTGTAAAAGGTAAAAGGTTAAAGTGATATGGGAATGCACGAATTTAAGGGCAGTATGGAATTCTTGGTAACCAGATTATTCACTAATTCTGTCTTAACCCTTTGGAAAAGGTTTCAGTCATAATCTAGCTATGTATCTGCACGCTTATTTGTTATTTTTTTACATGTTTCTTTTCTGCAATTTGCTATTTTTGGTTCCAAGCTAGTAAAATCATAATTTTCAGATTCTTGGTTGCTTCAAGCTACACTTTCATTATTTGCTGCTATGCTGACTGAAGAGTAGATGTTGCAAAACTACTTTAGTGCATACTAATACAAATTTTACTATATTGGGTTTATGTAAGCATTAAGTTATTTCTGTATATTTCTTCTGAAGTTAAATGACTGTTGCTGTTTTCCAAGTGTTAAATTTGTGAATTCTAAGGATTTTCTGTTTTATCCTTGAAGGTAACTACTAGCACAATCACAATGAAGGATCATCCTTTGACTGGGAGCCAAGTCAAAGTTGAGCAATTATTTGAAGACTCTGGAAATAGAAGGAGCAGTACTCTGCAGTCCTCTGGAATAAATGGCTCTGAAAGGTCATTTCCAACTCCAGTAAAAGATAAAAGTGGTGATAGTATATGCACCGTCAAAAATAGTGGCAGCTCAATAAAAGCACAGAAAGCTGGATGTCAGTCTGCAGAGCAAGCACTGAAGCAATATAAACAGCAGTTAACAGCCTATGAGCAACAAGAAATATTTAATTTTCCTGAAATCTATTTTGTGGGTCCAAATGCAAAGAAAAGACAGGGAGTTATTAGTGGCCCAAACAATGGTGGATATGATGATGAACAAGGCAGCTACATTCATGTACCTCATGATCATCTTGCGTACAGATATGAAGTGCTTAAGATAATTGGGAAAGGCAGCTTTGGCCAAGTAGCTAAAGTGTTTGATCACAAACAACACCAACATTTGGCTCTAAAGATGGTGCGCAATGAGAAACGGTTTCACCGGCAAGCGGCAGAAGAAATACGCATCTTGGAACATCTCAAAAAGCAAGATAAAACTGGCAGCATGAATGTTATTCACATGCTAGAAAGCTTTACCTTTCGAAATCATATATGTATGACCTTTGAGCTCCTGAGCATGAATTTGTATGAGCTGATCAAAAGAAACAAGTTTCAAGGCTTCAGTGTGCAGCTTGTACGTAAATTTGCTCACTCAATATTGCAATGTCTGGAGGGGCTTTTCAGAAACAAAATTATACATTGTGACTTAAAGCCTGAAAATATTCTTCTGAAACAGCAAGGGCGGAGTGGAATCAAAGTAATTGATTTTGGATCTAGTTGTTTTGAGCACCAAAGAGTTTACACTTACATACAATCTCGGTTTTACAGAGCCCCAGAAGTTATCCTGGGAAGCCGCTATGGGATGCCCATAGATATGTGGAGTTTTGGCTGTATTCTGGTGGAACTTCTGACTGGTTATCCTTTGTTTCCAGGAGAGGATGAGGGTGATCAGCTAGCTTGTATGATGGAGCTCCTTGGAATGCCTCCACAGAAATTGCTAGACCAATCCAAGCGAGCCAAAAACTTCATCAATTCGAAAGGTCATCCTCGCTATTGCAGTGTAACAACTCAAGCAGATGGGAAAGTTATTCTTAATGGTAGCAGATCACGAAGGGGTAAAATGCGCAGTGCTCCAGGCAACAAGGACTGGATCACAGCATTAAAAGGCTGTGATGACTCTTTGTTTATAGAGTTCTTAAAAGAATGTCTTAATTGGGATCCTTCTGCAAGGATGACTCCTAGCCAAGCTTTAAGACATCCTTGGATTTGCAAACGAGTACCTAAGCCTCCCAGCGTGGATAAAAGTTCAGGCAAACGGATTGCTCACTATACAAGCGCTTTCCCAGGGATAAATTCCAGATTACCCCCAGTTGTTGGGGTAGCAAACAAACTGAGAGCTAATCTAATGTCTGATTCAAATGCCAATATACCTCTATGTACTGTGCTACCAAAATTGGTCAGCTAATAGAGAATTACATATTCCCAGGGTATATACTGTGTTTATTATTATCTCCGTGAACCACAAAGAGATTAGTGTAGGGCCTGGGGAAAAGATTATTGAAGATTGAACCTTGTATAAAAAAAAAACTGAATGAAAACAAGCATTTTAAGGGCTATAATTATTTAATCAAATAGTTTCAGCTAGGACGGGATGCCTATTGTATACATTTGTTTTATTCAGTGAGATCACATGCTATATAACAGATTTTAGAGTAATGTTATAATAAACCACAAAATCACCTGTTCATGCCGGCAGTCATGTAAACAGAAAATTGAGTGCAATGTGGTTTCAAGATAATTTACACCTGATAGTAAATTTCTTACAGAATGCTGATCAAAAAGCACAAGTTCTTAAGCTTTTTGTTGTCTATGAATTATTTTGTAGTAATTTCTACATATAATTGCAAGATTTCTGAGTTTGCAAAATTAATTTGCGAACTCTCCTTCAAATTGTTTGCAGACAAGCATCTTGCAAAAGTGTGTGGTGAGCCAGACCTATGAAGATAATAGTTTTTGGACACTCATTTTAATATTTTTAATTCTTCATTCCAACATTTTAAATTGAATTAATTGATCACATGGAGATAAAAATATTTCTGAGAAAATTTCTTGTAAGTAAGTTGCTTTTAATTTTAGTGAAGGATAAACTGAGGAAAATGCTGTTTTCAAATTTCAGATGCAAAAAGATGGGTGCTTCAAATATTTTGTACAGGAAAATGTAATGGGCAGCATCTGGATATTGGAAAATAAAATTATTTTACTAGTGCACATAAGTTTGCCTCTTGGTTTTCCCATTCAGGATCTTGATTATGAAGACTTGATCTTTAGCAAAGCACAAAACAGTATTACTCAGACCTAAAGTACAGTTTAGGTATATGATGCAAGGTTAATGGATCATTATTAATGGTAGCCATTTGCATTGGATATTTACCAATCAGTTGAAGATGAACTATTATTTAAATTCTATTTTCCACATTGGATGCATTCTATATTATAATAATTTGTAGAACAGCTAATCACTGAAAAATTAATTTGCTTCCTCCTGATTTTTGTGTTAACTGTTTACTCTCATGAGTTACACAAATACTAGATTAGATACTCTGTCAGCTGTTTATTCAGATTGCAGTGCAATTTCTGCACATGCGTGTTAATACTGCATAGGTAGGAAAATGTGAAGAGTCCTCAAGAATAAGGATTTTATAGATGCTAACTTCAGAACCAGAAAGCTCTATTGAACTTACATGTAATTTTATTCCAATTCCAAATAAATACCTTAATTTCTCTGTTTCACATAGTTGGGTTTTTACATCTGCATGGCCATTTAAGATTATTTGAAATTAAGAATTCTGTCTTAGCAGTAATAATGATCACAGTTATATTGTACCATTCTCGAGGCAATTCAAACAAAAATATTTGATTGCAGTAGCAGACATTGAGTATATAAAGAATTGCACATATCTTCCTAACCCTAACCCTTGGCAAGACAATCTTGTGCAAAATGTTATTTTACTGCATAAACATTTTAATGTTTAGTGAATTTGTATGCCATTCCATTAGTTGAGGAATTTGGGACAGTTTACAAGAAAATAAGATAAAAAAGAAAATAAAATCATGAAGTAAGCAAGTACAATAAAACAAAATATAAAATTGAAAACTTGATTTTAGTTGCACGTTTATAGCTCATTGTATTTTGTTTTTTAATTGTTCACCCTTTGTATAAAATATAATAATTTTCACAAAATACCTACAAGCTATAGCGAAATGTATGGGGTACATTATAGCTTGTTGTTTTTTATTGCTTTAAATAATGCTGAATCTTGCAGGTAAAAGCATTAATAAAATCCAGGTCATTTTGGGAAATAAAATATATATAGTATTTGATTGAAAGCTTATCAGATAGATTTCATAGTAAACAATTTTCTCTTTTTAATTACTGTCTTTAAACTTTTTTAAAAGGACATCCATGTTCTTCCATTTTCTTGTTTTTTTGATTGAAAAAGCTCCTCTATGATAATTCTTGCTAATATGAGAATAACACAAAAACTGATTGTGCGTCTGAATTACCGAGACATTTATCTTGCCTTTAAGAGGCAATTTGTTACGGAGACAAAAATTTTCAAAAATTATTTGCATCATTTCACCATCTTGTAATAGGTGTAAAACAAGATATATTTCTGTAAAAGAATGATTTCTGAAATAGTTTGGGTTTTTACCATTTCTGTTAAAGGAAGTTAATTTAGACAAGGTACTTTAAGTGAGGTAACTGATATAGTTATGGAATTTTCTGAACTGAATAAAATCTTACAGTAACATTCCTTTTCTGTAAAATGTCTGTTAAGGAAAATGCAACAACAGCAAATTGGCTTACTTAGCATTTGGCACTGGTCTAATATCCTGTATCTATAAGTAGACTGGGTTTATTGGTATTTTATATACAAAAGGTTTTCTAATTTGAAATAATGTTCATCTGAATTCTTTATTCTAATGTGAGAACTAAGTTAATATCTTCAGTTCTGTGAAAATACTCTAGCCCAGAAATATTAACTGAAATGAGTTTTCTTGAAAAATAACAATATGATACAGTGAATTGAGGTGAAATTTTCTGTTTCCTAGATTGGACAAAGGTCTAATAATAATATCTTGCATTTTCTCAAATCTTTTATTTCCCAAAGCAATGTTCTAGTTCTTGTACAATAACCAAGATTATGTCCGTATAAAGAAATAGGCAATCTATTGTTTTTCAAAGCTTCTGGATTACAGCTTCCATATTGTTCTTGACTTTTGCTGACTGATTTATGGAACTTGTAGATCAAACCTGGAGAACCTGAGATTTTCTAACCAAGAATTGTTGGGCTCTTTGTTGGAACTAGCTTACGATGATTTGTAGGACAGTTGAATGTCCTTGTGCCTTATTTTAGTCATCTACATCTATTTCAATGCAACATATTCAGGAAGTTCAGAATAAGCGGTTTGGAATACTTACAAATTAGATTTGTATTTCATTTTGAATACTGTGATAATGCAATAATGTGTTGCAAATTAATGAGTGCTAAACTACATGATAATTTGGAATGATGTGTGTGTGTGAAGGAACATTTCAAAAGTTAGTGTTTAAATGTATATAAATTCAATGGGAAAAATGCTCCAACATAAGATAACTTTCTTTAAAAATAAACTCTTTTTCAGATTCAAACTCTGTATACTTCTAAAAAAATTGCCTACTGTTTAGCATTCAGGTATAAAGGAACACCTATAAAATCTATGAGAAATTAACATTTGTTTATTTAAAAAACCTTTTAAATGTTCATTGAAGAACATAATAGCAAAATGTTTAATTGAAAGCAATTGTGTGTTTTGTGTGTTTTAATATCACAGTGTAAGAACTGAAGCTAGCACTGAGATTCAACAGCCTTTAGTATGTGTGCCAGGAGTGGACTAAAGATAAGAATAAGATTTTGGAATAATAATGTAGGTATTAGATAGCAAATTTTTCTTGCTTTGCAACAACATACAAATCAAACTTCTTTAGATTATTGATTGTGAGAAAACCAGAATTAAGTTCTGATGGGAAGGGATTGTAAACTTGTTTTTAGAATTGATAAACTACTTATACATTTTCCTTAATTATTATTTATTAACCTGAACCATTACTTTGACTCTGCTTTTTGCTGATGGATTTGAGTTCTAATATGATACAAAATAAGAGCCCACAGGTTTCTTTTAAAATTGGCTAATACTACTACTGCTATTACTACTAAGGGACCTTGGAGGTCATCTAGTCCAACCCCCTGCTCAGGCAGGAAACCTTATAACATTTCAGACAAATGGCTGTCCAGTCTCTTCAGTGTTGAAGCATTCAGAGCTTCTGGAGGCAGGTTGTTCCACTGATTAATCGTTCTGTCAGGAAATTTCTCCTTAGTTCTAGGTTGCTTCTCTCTTTGGTTAGTTTCCATCCATTGCTTCTTGTCTTGCCTTCAGGTGCTTTGGAGAATAGCTTGACTCCCTCTTCCTTGTGGCAGCCCCTGAGATATTAAAACACTGCTATCATGTCACCCCTCGGCCTTCTCATCATTAAACTAGACATCCCAATTCCAGCAACTGTTCCTTATGTTTTAGCCTAATCATCTTAGTTGCTCTTCTCAGTACTCATGTGAAGATCACTTCACGTGATCTTGATTCTGTCTCTCTGATAATGCAGCCTAGAGCTGTGTTGGCTTTTTTGGCAGCTGCAGCACACTGTTGTCTCATATTTAAGTGATTGTCCACTAGGACACTGAGATCCCTTTCACAATTACTACTATTGAGCAAGGAACCATACTGTACCTATGCATTTGGTTTTTCTTGCCTAAATGTAGAACTTTACTTCTTTCACCATTGAATTTCATTTTATTAGCGCCCAATGTTCAAATCAGTCAAGATCCTTCTGTATCTTAAGCCTATCTTCTGGAGTGTTGGCTATTCCTGACAGCTTGGTGTCTGCAAATTTGATGAGTTCCCTATCCCTTGAACTTAATTACAATATAATCAACCCTGAAACGCTAACAAAACATTAAAACCCAGTAAACTGCAAAGATTTGGAGTGAAGCTTTGATGCTCTGAACTCAGTAAGTTTCTACTAATATTTTAACAGTAAAGTAGCAGAATGAATACTATATTAAACAAATATGCAGACATTATGGATAATGTATAGGTACAGTTCAGGTTTTTGGGATGCTGTATTTGAAGCTCAGTCTTTCAATATACAAGCCTGTGATGAAAAAGCCATTCACTGAAGAATTTTTACTGAACTTGCACATTTTATAATTTAGCATTCATATACAGTCATTTTGGCTTGTAAACTGGGATTTACCACTGTCAATAGTGTAGCATGTTGGTAATATTAGCTAATGTTAATCTAAGCATGGTTTGTGCATCTAGATTTTGAGCTCCATCCAATTTTAAGATCATGTTTCCAAACAAATGTATTTATTATACAGTATATTTTATTTATTTATTTATTCAATTTCTACAGCTGCCCAGCTCAACTAAATGAGTCTTAACATTTCTATATCATTCTTAACCCAAAGCTTCTGATAATTTTTTTTAAAAGGACTGTTCAGTGCAGCACAAGATGAGTGTGCATGTAAAGTAATTAAGAAATGTACAGTAAATTGACCAGATCAAAAATGAATCAGCCATAATTTTATGGCTATTCATATTCCACAATGTGCTAAGAATATCATTGAAACAAATAGGTTAATGTTAATAGTCAATGAGTTTGATTTCTGACCCCAGATATTAGAATTTTGTATCTCTGATGCCACTAAAAATGACCCTTCTCCTCCCTTTCCAGCCACTTTTTATTTTACTATATTAATATCTACAGATTGCTTCATATATATTTTTTTTAAAAAGGAGCCATGCTATAATTTTAGTTTATGGCAGATAAATGTGAGTTTTTCAAAGCTGTGAATTGGACATCTTACATAGCATTCTTTACTGGTGTTTTTTAAGTTGCAGAAACCTGGAATGATTTTTTTTAAAAAAAAAATCACTGCCTTGGAACGGGAAACTTAGCATGAATCAATGAAAACAGGAAACATGACATTTGTGTATCTGGCAATAGATACAATTGGAATATCTCTCCTCCAGTGCTAAAGCTCCCTTGTGGAACTGTAGCTGTGGTTTTTCTTGAATTAATAGGTCCTTTTTTGTGAGCGTTGAGTGAGAAAAGTGAAGGTTTTTGCGCTGGAGGCAAACATTTTCCTGTTAGACTTGACTCTCTAGAGAAGTGGTTCTTAACCTTTTTGAACAAATTGCCCCCCTCCCCCAACATAACCTCTCAATCACAACATAGGAAATCTTCAATTTATGCAAACACTTCTTTTCTTTTCTTTAAAATTGTCATCAGGACAAATTGATGCAAATAATTTATTTCCAGTCTTTTTCCCATATCTCCCATATTCTGGCCAATGGCGTGCCACTGTATGGGTAGAGGCTGCTGCGCAATGCGCATGAAGATAAGCGATGCGTATTCACATATGTACGGCGTTCTGTACTGAAGCTAGCTGGAGGAACATTTGAAAACAATTCAATCCACTAATAGCAAGCGATCTGATGTTTTTGTACGACAGATATACAGCGATTCATTGTACGAAAAAGTCTCAAAAGTGTCTCCAAAACTTGTTGCTCCATCACCCCCATATCGCCCCCTTTTTGTTCCTTTGCCCCCACGTTGCCCCTTTTCGTTCCATCGCCCCCCTGAAAAATGAAATCGCCCCCTGGGGTCAGGAATTCTGGGAGTTGAAGTCCATGAGTCATAAAAGAGCAGAGGTTGCCTACCTCTGTTCTAGAGTAACATTTCCCCATCTTTGTAGAACAGTTTCATACTATTATTGGAGAAAGCTTGTATAGAGAAAGAAATATTCATATGGGATGCTGGACAAATTCTGTGAAGATGTAATTATGTGGAACTTGCTAAGGAACACAAAGAAGTCAGTGGAAGAAATGGATTGAAAAGGAAACAGAACAGTACATGATGCTTTCTGTTATGTGTATGTAGATGAGAACCAAACTCCTTGTCACTAACCACACTAAAGCCTATCAGATACAATATAGACTATGATTAAACCTGTACTGTTGAAAATTGTGACCTTGCCTATTTTGGACAGATTCTCTCCCTTTTTCTCAGTCAATATTTAGCACGTGCTAAGCTTTAGGACTACAAAGCACAAACTGAATTTTGACAGCCCTGACAATCTGCAGTCAACTTTAAGAAAGTTTCGCATCAAGATCAGCAAATTTACATGCCATTTTTGATTCCTGATTTACAGTAGATTAAATTACAATCTTATATTAATAACAATGCAATCATTTATGTTTCTCTTCATTTTCTTCAATAGGACTCTACCAAGTCAATATGTATTGTATAGGGAAACATTTTACAGCAGCTTCTGAAAGAATGACTGTACTGCAACAA